CCCTTCGGCCTCGGGGGCGCGGACTGCGGCGGGGACCCGGGGGCTTGGGGAGGTGGACTCGGACGAGCTCCCGCGCTCAGGGCTCCCTGAGGAAGGCCGACAGACTGGAGTTCTCGGGGCTGGAGGGTGTCCCCTCGGGGCTGGCCCGGCTTTCTGAATGCCCCCAAAGGAAGAAATGGGCAGTGGCTTTTCTGTGGGCCTGGGGGAAAGTGTTTCTGTATCCGGGGTTATGTCAGGTTTCACCGGGTGGGGGGTCACGCCTCTCAGGTGGGGGCGACGGCATTAACGCGCCCCTCTGCGGGGAGGCAGGGCAGGTGGGGGCGCAGGGCGTTATCTGCATCCCTTCCTCGCCGTCTCCCGGCGAGAGGGCAGCGCCGACCTCGAGCGCCTTGGCTGCTTTTCCCGCACCGCGTCCCGCTCCCGTGGCTGCCCCAGCACCGCCTTCGACACAAGCCAGAGCCCGGTCCCTGCTTGCTCGCAGCCGCGGCCGGGTTGGGACGGCGCCCTAGGGTCCGAGGTTTCCCCCCAGCCCCGAGACTTCAGGGTCTGGTGCTCCTCGGACAATCTGGACCGATCCTCTCCGGGACCCAGATGAACTCAAGCCTCTACGTGGCAGCCGGGCCGCGCGCGTGTGTGTATATGTGTGTTGGGGGCCCTCTCCGGGGTCGGGCTTCCCAGGCACTCCGGAGCTGAAAGCGCCGGCTCTGTGGAAGCGCGGGGGCGGGGCTGGGAGGTGGAGGCCGGGACTAAGAGAGGCGCCTCCGCACCGGCGGTCGGAGGCTGTTTGTGCTGAAATGCTAGGCAGTGGCAGCAGCCAGGAGTCCTGAGGCCCAAAGGTACGAGCGCCCCCTGCCCCTAGGCCACGAGCAACACCTCAGCCTTTAGACTTTCAGTTCTTTTTGAAGGCAGCTCCTTCTTTCCTCTTTCGTCAGCATCCCTGCCCCTGGTGCGGGAGAAAGCCGCTTTGCGGTATTGAGCTGGGTGTGCCTAGTGGGGTGCTCGAAGCCACGTGTCCTGTTGGAGCAGTTAGTCCGTCTGCTCCTCTGTCAGTCTGGCAAAAAGGTCTTCGTGAAGGGGGAGGGAGTAGTGTGTCTGTGTGTGTGTGTTCCATCATAGTCCCTCCCTGCTCCATTCTGGAGTGAGAGTGGGGACTCAGGGTAGGCACAGGCAGCCGGCCAGGCTCCGAGAGTCACGGTGCTGGGCATCCCGTTCCCATGCCTGCTACTTAGCCTCACGGTGGAAGAATTCCCACCGTGAGGCTAAGAATGGCCGAGTTCCCATCTCCCCACTCTCCCAGGATGTGTCCAGGTCTGTCCCACTCTCCCCCTGCATCCACAGGGGACGTTGGGCTGCCTCAGGCTCTGGGTGGCAAGCTCAGCTCCTCAGAGGCCCCAGGGCCTAAGTGGTAGGAAAACTTCCTTGAAGAGGTGAGGACCGAAGGAGCTTTTTCTGCAGTGGCAGAAAGCTTCCACTGAGGACTCTGAGGATCCTGGGTCTGGTCACCCACTGGGCAGGGGCACATGGTCTTTTCCGGGGCAGGCCCTGGGGTCCAGTGGTGAGGGCCCCTGAAGGGGGCCTGGCTACTGGACAGAGTGGGGTCAGAGTCCTTTTTCCCCTCCGTGGCCACCACTTCCTGGGGTCCTTAGTCAGAGTCCAGTCCTTGGGGTGGGGTGGGGACCTTTGGGGATGGCGCCCCCGAGCCTCGGCTGAGCCCTGGCCGACAGGCCTGCCCACTAGTGAATCAGGTGACCACTGTCTGTACCTCCTCCCAACTTTGGTCCTTTTAGCCATCAACTTGCCCTCACCTGTCAGCACCTTCACACCTCTCAGAGATGAAAATAGTAAAAAGTTATCCCCTCTTGAAGTCTTTGTCATTTCAAGGGCTACCCCTCCCACGGAGTTTTGCATTTGAGAGAGACCCAGAGAGGAAAGTGGCAGTGCTTAACCCCTAGAAGTGCTGTGGTTGGGGGGGTGGCGCATGTGGCATGTCACAGGGAGAGGAGGGGAAGTGGGAGCGTGTCAGGAGTCAGCTGCTTTCTTGGCCTCAGTGGCCTAGCATAGGCTGCTCTACCACCGCCACCCCTGCATCTGGGAGGCCTTAGGCTTCATCTGTTGGCAGTGTGGTGTCTCCAGGAGGGAGTCCTTGCACAGTGACAGGCAGGCAGCCAGAAGTGGGCGAGGGCGCCTGTGAATGAGTGTGCGAGTGAGCGGTGTGCTCTCCAGAAGGGTCAGGGGGTGGACCCAGGCCAGAAGGGCTCTGAAGCCCTCACCCCCTCCTGAGAGGTCCCCAGCTCAGCCTCCAGGATGCTTGGCCACATTGGAACTGCCCCACTGTATGGGGACAGCTGGCAGGAAAAGATGGGACCAAGACCCATGGGCTTATGAGGGTTGTAATTACAGCCAACAGACACATCCTCTCCCCTAGACAAATGTGGGGCTGGCAGCCCCTAATTATCACCCACCTCAAGACATCTGCCTACCCTACCCGCCATCCTCCTCTGCTCGGCCTGGAACCCAGCTTTCCATTGGGCGGGCCTGCTGGCAGCCTGGGCAGCTGGGCCCACTGGCTGGAAGTTTATCTTCCTTCTGCAGAATGGTGGCTACCTTTGCCGCCCAGAGAAGGTGGGGTGGGGGGAGCTGGCACCTGGGCTTTGCCCTGCTCGCTGGGCTGGAAGAGGAGCTGCTGGTGCTGCTGGTTGTCCAGGCCAACCCAAGGGCGGAGGCTGAGGGCCTTCCCCTGGTGGGCAGTGGGCCTGGGGCAGGGGATGCCAGCTTTCTGTTGCTCTCACCCAGCTGGGTGCCAGCTTCTGCAAAAAAGCAGGGACGACTTGTTTTCATGTCAACTCTGCCCTAGTTAGCAGGGGACTATCAAAAATTAATTTAGAGATTTCACTGCCTTTCGCCCTTACAGAGGGCAAGCTGCCTTTCCCTTCACCCCGGGAGCCCTGGTTTTCTTTCGCCGAGTAGCTGAGTACCATCTCTGGCTTCCCTCTGGCCCCGCAGCGCGCCCCAGACCTGTAGCTCTGTGTGTCCAAGCTCCACCAGCTCCCCACCCCATTCACACTCTGGGGGATTCTGCCTCAGTTTCCTCCACCTGTGTCACCGCCTGAGCCTGCTCCTGAAAGGAAGGTGGGTAAACAGAACTGGCTGAGAAAAGATGGAGCCTGCCCCGCAGCCCCGCGGCCCGCCTCCTAGCCCACAGGCCTGGGAGAGCCTCTCCCAGCCTGTCCGCGTCTCTCCTGGCTCCTTGGGAAAACAAGCACCACAGGATAGTAAAAATCACCCTTAAATTAAAGCTGATGACTCCTGTCAAAATGTTTTATTAATCTCATTATTTAGCAATCTTGTGACAGTTGTGAGGCTTAGATAGATATATGTGTACACACGTATATTAAATAAATTGGGGAACGTAGTGCATAATGACATTATCTGGACCCCATTCAATTAAGGTGGATATTATCTGCAGTGATTGGGAAGTGCCACCCCACAACGACAGCCTCTGTCATCTCGGGGATGGATGGCGACGACAGGCTGGCTATGGAGTCAAGCCTCCCGGGTGAGGCTGAGTCCCGGGAGAGCTCAGTCAGCTGCTCGCCCCAGGCTGGGCCACCCGTATCAGGACCCGGAGCTTTGCGTCCTGCCCTGCCCCCCCAGCCACCCCGTCGTTCCTCAGGAGGACAGGTACTACCTCCTGGACCTGTTTTCTAGTTGGCTTTTAGTGAGAACACCGTCACAGCCACAGGGTTGTTTTTAGATCTGAGTATCGAAATAAGAATTGGAGACTTGACCTGAATCTTAAGTTTCTGGCGGGTGATGGCTTCTGCGGTGTCACTGCCCCTTCCCTGTGCCTAGCCTCTGTGCGTCCTGGGGATGGAGGTCTCACCCACAACTGTAGTTATGGTCACGGCTGCGTAAGACGGTAGAGTTTGGGTTTCAACTTGCTAAGCCATTGGGCCCTAGCTTTCCCGGGCAGTGCTGGGCTTGGGGGGCTCTGAACTAAGAGAGGAGACAGGGAGGAGGAAGAGAGGAAGAAGCGGCACTGGGGGAAGCCTGCCATGGCAGCAGCTGCAAACAAAGACACTTGCCTGCTTGGGTCTCATGCAGAAAACCACACACGCAGGTGGTGGCGGCTCGGGGCGGCATGAGTTGGGGCGGGAAGGGCAGGCGTGGGGGCTGCAGGGGGGCTGGTGGTTGGAGGGGAGCTGGGCAAGTGTGTGCTTGCTGGCTGGTCCCCTGGCTCTGGGTGCGGGGGAAGGTCAGGGCTGGGCATTTTCTGGGCTGGACTGGTGGGATCAAGGGCCGAGGAGAGGATCTTGCTTTGTCTTCCACCTGCTGTGAGCTTCTGTGGCCTTAGGTGACTCCCCTTTAAGCCTCAGGTTTCTCTTGTTATGAGCCAGGGTCAACCCGTCGCTGTCCCTCAGAGCCCCCCAGTGGGCCCTCACCCTTCTGTCCACAGCACGGCCTCGAAGTCTGGGTGATCTTGTGCTTGGTGTCCTCTCTGACCACCCCTCTTTCCTCCCCTTGCCCCCCAGCCCTCCAGTCATGCTGGCCTCCTTGCTGCTCCTTGAACAATGAATGCCAAGCATACGCCTACCTCAGGGCCTTTGCATTTGCTGTTCTCACTCCTCGGGATGCTTTTCTCCCAGATACTTGCTCATGCTTTTACTGCTTTAATCTTTGCTCAAATGCCGCTTCCCAGAGAAACCTTCCTTGGCAATTTTTTTTCCTGAAAAATCCCCTCTGGGTCATTCCCTGTCTCCTTACCAGCTTTGTGTATTGCTTGTAGCCCCTGGGTTCCCTGAAGTGCCACGTGTCTGTGTGTAGATGAGTTGACTGTCCCTCCTGTGCCACCCCCACTAGGACATTGGCTCCACGGGGCAGGTGTTTGTACCTGTTTCGCTCCCAGCAGTTTCCCCAGTGCCCAGAGCAGAGCCTGGCGCATGGTAGGTGCTCAGCGCATATTTGAGTGACGCATTGAGTAACCGAATGGTTGTGGCAGAAGGAACTGTACCCTGTGCCTGACCGCTCCAGAGGGCCTTCAGGGCAGTAAGAATTCAGTGCAAGGTGAGAGTCCTCTCCGCGGACCTGGATGCTGCTGCAGACCTGCCCTTGGCTCTGCCTTGGTGGGGGTGGCTGCCACGCTGTCTCTGGGCAGGGACCCGGCTTTGTCTTGTTACTTATTGAGAATTCCCTGTGTTTTGAGCCTTGGGCCAGGCACAGGGACAGGGGAGAGGGCAGTGCTGTTTAGACAGGCCCTCAGTGTGCCCTCAGGCCCATCGGTGCCCAACAACGACGCAGAGAGAGGCTGCGTGGAGGTGGCTGTGGACGGAGGCGGTCCTGGGAACCTGAGTAATCAGGGCAGGGGGCCTGGAGGAGGAAGGGTCGCTCCAGGGGGCTGAGTTTGCAGGGAGGAAGGTGGAGGGCTTTGGGAGGGAAGCACAGGCAAGGGACTGAAAGTTTCCTCCTCCTCAGTTTCTGCTAGCATCAAGCTAAAGGATTTCTCCCTCCCTCCCTCCCTTTGTCCTCCCTTCTGTCCTTTCCTACCTGTTGCTCAGTGCCCGCCACATGCCCATCATGGAACTGGTTGCTTCTGAATTGGGCCCTTTGTGTTTTGGTGGAGCAGGGGGGTTTGGAGCTTCAGAACTTGGGGAGGTTCACGGTCCAGGCTGGTGAGGTGGAGCCGCTCCTGGAGGAGAAGGGAAGGGGACCGGGGCCCAGCGCCCACTGTGTACTCCTCCTGCTCTTAGAACATGGCTGGGGCTGGGCAGGGGCTGGGAGCAGGGCTGCTCTCCCTGCTAACAGAGAAATAGATGACCCGGGAGCAGAGGGTGGGCAGAGCCCAGGAACCACTCACTCATGTCGCACCATTCACTGACGTCCACAAACCCGGTGGGGGTGCTGGGCACCGTGCAGACTGGGGCGTAGCAGTATCAAGGTGAGCAGGACCGACCCCCTCAAGCTGCGGTCCAGGTGGGGAGAGGGTTGTGCTGTTAGGATTTGAGGTGCTCACTGGCCAGCCCTCTTTCCCTGTGGACCAGGAGTCACCAGGTGGAGATCAAACCTGGGCAGCTGGGGTGGAGCCTGGCTGCTGACGACCTGCTCCCTGAGTCCAGACTGGCAGCCACCTGTGCCTCTGCCCGGCCAGTGGGGCGGCTGCAGGCTGGTGTCTGGGACCCAGATGGGCTCCTGTGAGGGAGGGGTATAGGAAGGAAGGGGGAGACCTCAGGTTCTCCCTGACATCCCCTTGGGAGCCTGGAGCTGCCAGCCCCTCCTTCTGTGGAAACATGCAACACGAGGCTTTGAAACAGACCCCAGAGCGACTCCACTCGACTGTTTACAGCTCCCAGGTTTGCCGAGCACCTGAGTTGGACTGGGCCCCGCAGAAGCAGGGGCGACAGACGTGAAATAAGTGCTGAAGGGGGCATGGGAACACGGAGGGGCCGAGGCAGGCAGCAGGCCAGGGGGCTTGGCTCCAGGAGGTCAGAGGACAGGGGCCTGGGGCAGCCGGGGCAGGCCTGGGCCCTCTGTGGGCTGGGCTGTGCCCGCAGACCCCCGCAGACCCCAGGGCTGGCCTGTGGAGGAGCCAGGAGCCGGGGAGCCCGTCTGAGGGCTGCAGGCGGGAGGGGCGTTCCGGCGAGGCCCCCACCACTGGGCCTACAGCACAGCCTCATTTCCCCCGGCCCCTGCCCTTTATTTTGGAGTTTGGGGAAATTTCATTTCCTTAGGTTTGGGAGAGTAAAAAGCAGCTCTGTGAGGGCTAAATTGGAGTTTAGTAAATCACAGTGGCGAACTTTGGATTTGGTTGTTCCATGGTTTGTGGTTCATTCTGGCTCAGGCCCTGGTTGCCAAGGGGAGGATTTAGGTGGGACCTGGGAAGGCCATGGCGTGCTGCTCACTCAGGCTGGGAGGGTCGCTGGGGCAGGTTTGGGAGCCTGCCTCGGGCAGCAGGAGGCCCTCAGACCGCGGAGGGGGCTGGGGGGCAAGGGTGCACTGCAACCACCCCTCCAGCTCCCCTCACATCCTCTTTTACTGAAGAGAGTGTTCCAGCAAATGCCCTTGGCTGTGAGCTGTTGCTGTGTGGAGATGATTATGGGCTCTTCCCTCTGCTCCTCGTCCCTTCCTGTCTAGCTCTGTCATCCCCTGGAGCCAAAGAATCTAGCAAGGGCTGGAGCGGGGAGTGGATGTGGCCAGGGGACAGAGCGGGAGGGAGGAAGGGAGAGGGAACATGAGGGAGCAGAGACCCATCTGGGGCGGGGTGGGCGCACTGGCTTGGACCTGCAGGCATCCTGGGGACCTCCCCTGGAGAGGGGTCCCCTCACTGTCCAGGTTTGAGCCCTCCTGGCTGTTTTGGAATGGAAGGGGGGTGGTCTGAGGGCTCCGAGCCTCCCTGCACCTGCTACCCCTCCCCTGCTACCCCTCCCCCCACCCCAGCCTCTGCTCTTGGTGAGTCCTTTCACTCACAGGGTATTTTTACTTTTCCCTTGTTCCTGCTCCATGATCAAAGGAAGAAGGGGAAGCTGAAAGAGGCCGCGGTGTGCCCAGTTCTCTGGAGAAGCTCCGAAAAGGCAGGGCTGGTGGGACTGAGGGAAGCAGTGGGACCCAGTCCCTGTGGTGGGGGCGGTGGGCAGCCTGGCCAGCTCGGGCAGGGCTCCGTCCTTCGGTCTTGCTTTTAATCCTGTGTGTATTTGCCTGCGGCCTCACTGAGGCCTCTTTCCCCATACGGGTCTCTGTCCTCTCCGTGTGTGTGTGTGTGTGTGTGTGTGTGTGTGTGTGTGTGACTGTGGTGTTGGTGTGTGTGACTGTGGTGTTGGTGTGTGTGACTGCAGTGTGTTTGTGGTGCCTGTGTGTGTGTGCACTGCCCAGCCTGCAGGTGCTCAGGCTTCGGGGAGAAGCCAGCTCGAACCCTCGGGGAGGAGCTGGGAGCCTGGGCAGGGCCCGGCGGGGAGCTGCTGTCCGGGCCTCTCAGCCCGAAGGCCCTGCTGCAGTCTCTGCACTCAGACTGCCACGACGCCCCAAATCCCTCCTTAGAAAATTCAGCAAAAGCAGGCCTGAGCTCCTCGGCTGTTAGCACTGGGCAGGCCCAGCATGGTGGAGTAGTCAGGGACCTGGGAAGCCCGCACAGGCCTGGAGTCATTAGCTGAGGTTCGTGCCTTGGGGTCTTCATCTCGGTGATAGGGATGAAAATGCCCCAAATACGCAGGTGAGTGTCGCCCAAGGAATGTAAGCAGAGCATTTAGGACAGTTCCTGGCACACTGCAGTATGTTGTCATTTGCTGTTATTTGTCCTCGGGACACTTGGCATTTGGACAAGATAGTATTTCATTGTGCAGGCTGTCCCCGCGGCGTCTCTGACCAATGCCTGGGTGCAGGCGAGTAGGTGACAAATGAAAATGCTTCTGCAGGGACAGTGCATCCTTTTGAATGGATTTTACTCCAACTCACCCATTTTCCAGATTTTGAAGCTGAGGCCTCTCTCGAGGGTGTGCCTGGCCCCTGCAGGGCAGTAGCAGGTCTGTGGCCTCTGTCTGAGGCTTCTCCAGTCTCTCTTCCCGAATTGCCTGGCATTGGCCTCAGCACCCAGGTCCCACATCCTCTCAGTGCCCCCGCCCCTGGGGAGGAGCCCTGATGAACTCCTGTGGCCGCGTGAGTGATGGTGACGGTTCCATTCAGGTGTGGTCACCCCCTGCATCTTAACAGCCCTCACGCCTCCCCAGAGCGCAGGCCCCCAGCCCAGGTCACTGTGTTCCGGCTTCAGGGGTGAGGGCGGTATTAGGAAGCTGTCCTGCGGCCGTCCCCAGGGCTCTCTCAGTGTGGCTGGCGCTGGCTCTGAGTCCTGGGCCCACCCTGACTTGCTGTGTGACGTTGGGATGCCGCTGGGTTACTGGTTCGCCCTCGGAATGGGGCTAAGAACAATTACCAGCGTGCTCGTGGCCTCTGAGGAGCTAATGGGGAAGGGGGCATTTTGATGAGGGAGCGAATGTGCGGGTCCAGAAGGCAGTTGGCAGAGAAGCCCAGGAGCGGAGGCTGGGCTCCCGGGCTGTGGGAGTCTCCTCCCTGCCCTGTCCCAGAGCTGGAGCAGTGGGGGTCTCTGGGGGGGACTTACGGGTGGGGACGGGCGGCTCTTGAGACCACGGCTTGGCCTTGATGGAGGGGCCACACACCTGGGAAATCTCCCAATGCAAACACAAGCCCTTCCTCTAAGTGGCTAGGGAGACTGAGGCAGGAAATGGGCAGGAGGCTTGCTGGTCTTCATTTGACAAACCCATGAGGAAGGGCGTCTAGGGTCAGCCCTCTGGCCCAGCCCTGACTCAGCTTCCAGCCTTCTCCCTGCGGCCTTCTCAGCTGAGGGGAGGGGGGCTGCTGGCTTCGAGCAGGGAGGCTAGGGGGAGGGCAGGAACCCCCGGGGGAAATTAGCCCAAATTAGCAGTGAGATGAGGAAGAGCTGGTGCTCTCTCCTCTCCCCTGTCAGATAAATATTTAATCACCACAACAATAACAATGCGAGGATCCTAATAGTGTGCGGTTGCTCAGGCTGTAACCGGAGCCCCACTCTCAGAGGGAGGAAGTGTGGGGAGAGGAGCGGTGGAGAAACTGAGGGTGAGATGGGCTGAGGGAGGGAGGGCGGGGCGGCGCAGCGCAGCAAGCCGGAGCCCAGGGTTTGCTCTGTGCCCAGGTCTCGGGCGGCTGGGGTGGAAATATGAAATGGGAGGGTCCCCTTGCACTCGCCTGAACCCCTGACAGCCCCAGCTTCTCCCCAGCTGGCAGGGTGGGTGGCTCCCAGCCTGAGTCCTTCTCCAGGGGCTTTCCCAGCTGAGTCCCCAGGATGTCTAGGAGTCCCTGGTTCCAGAGCTGGGAGCTGGGAAGCTGGGCGCCAGGCGGTGTTCTCCTGGTCACTTCCCGTGTGACTTGGGCAAGATGCTCTCCTGCTCTGGGCCTCAGTCTCTTCTTCTCCAAAACGGGGTTGGGCCCAGTGGGACTGGTTTCTCCTCCTTCATGTGGATGAGTGTTGAGGAAGCACCCGTTCCTCCCAAGTCAGTCCAGGCTGTCCCCTGAGGAGCGTGCCCTCTGATGCCCAGGCTTCTGATGGCAGTGTGTACAGGCCTTAAGAAATATTCAAACGTGACCCAGTTTCTGCCGTAAGCTCTCCCGTTTGGACCTGGATTGAGCAGCAGCCAGGAGGAAATGAAGATGAGGAGATTTGTGGAGTCTTTGGCGATAACCTCCAGCGTCTCCTCTCAGGCTCCTGATGAGAGATCAGAATAGCTAATGTCTTCTTTGGGCTTCTGTTTGATTCTCTCTCTCTCTCTCTCTCCCTTCTAAGGTTGGTAGGAGGGGAGCACTGGAGCCATTTCCTCTTTGATGCCCAGATACGCCCAGCTAGGAGCCCGCTCCTCTGCTCACCGTCTCCCACCAAGAGCAGGCCTGCAGCACGTGGGGACCAAGATCACAGCTTTGTTTGTTCGTCGTGGCCGCCCCCTGCCATCTGCGGGCATGGCCTCTGCCAGCAACTGAGCACTGCCCGCGCTGCGAGGAGCACCAGCATGGTTTGCCCCGTTGGCGGCCCTCAGCCCTCCCGCTGCTGAAGCCGCCCCAGAGAGGCCTGTGGGGGTCGCTCTGCCCATGCCCACCCAGGCCGTGGGGCCAGGGGCCTGCCAGGGCTAGGAGTGGGCTTGCCGCCCATGGATCTCTAGGGACTCCGAGATGCCTGGGAAGAGGGGCTGGGGCTGGTGGTGGGCCCGCCTGCCCTTCTGCCTTCTCCTCAGCCTTTATGGGCCTTGGGTGCCTTCCTCTCTGGGGAAGCCCAAGGGCCACCCCCACATGAATTCTATCCGCATAGATGGGGATATCACCCTGGGAGGCCTGTTCCCAGTGCACGGCCGGGGCTCAGAGGGCAAGGCCTGCGGAGAACTTAAGAAGGAGAAGGGCATCCACCGGCTGGAGGCCATGCTCTTTGCTCTGGACCGCATCAACAACGACCCGGACCTGCTGCCCAACATCACGCTGGGCGCCCGCATTCTGGACACCTGCTCGCGGGACACCCACGCCCTCGAGCAGTCGCTGACCTTTGTGCAGGCGCTCATCGAGAAGGACGGCACGGAGGTCCGCTGTGGCAGTGGCGGCCCACCCATCATCACCAAGCCGGAGCGCGTGGTGGGCGTCATCGGCGCTTCGGGGAGCTCAGTCTCCATCATGGTGGCCAACATCCTCCGTCTCTTCAAGGTTAGTGCCTGCTGGTTGGCCCCAGAGGTGTCCTTCCAGCAACAAGGTGCCAGGCCCGGCCAGCTCCTTTCTCCTCTTCCTTATTCCAAGAGAGAAGAGACTTTGTTTTTGTTTTTGTTTTTTTACGTTCATTGATTCTAGAGAGAGAGAGGGAGAGAGAGAAACATTGATTCGATGTTCCACTTATCCATGCCCCATCGGTTCATTCCAGCATGTGCCCTGACCAGGATCAAACCTGCAGCGTTGGTGTGTCAGGACAGTGCTCCAACCGACTGAGCACCTGGCCAGGGCTTCCTGGAAGTAGTTTCTGAAAGTCTGGGGCGTGTGCAGTGCATAGCTTAGGCGGAGGAGGAGGGCAGAGGCGTGGAAGGAAGGTGCGGGCGGGGCAGGACCCGGCTGAGCGCTGCTGACTGTGGTGCTGAAGCAGCACCACTGCTGGCAGCTCCTCGATCAATTCCACTCGTCTGCGGGGAATTCTGAACAAGACGGGAGAGGAAGTGCTGGTGGACAGGGGGAGGAGCAGATATGTAGGCCGCTGTAGAAACAGACAGACGGATAGAAAGGTAGACAGAGTAAGAGACAGACAGATAGATAGAATGCAAATATGAATATTTCCAGGGAGAAAAAGTAAGACTTTTGTTTTGACATTGTTTTCAAATAATTGCAATTCCCAAGAAAGATATGTTTTCCTTTCGGGTGCCTGCGGAAGCCCCGCGTGGCCCTCCTGCACCGCCCCAAGATCCTGGTCAGAAATGTGTCCCGATTTCCTCTGTGGGCACCGGGCCGCTGGGCCCACAGAGGGTGGGGGCAGGTCGGAAAAGAGCCTGGGGCGAGCAGGCGGTCCGTGTTTCGGTGCCCTGGCCCTGGACCAAGCTTCCTGACTCGTTTCCTTCCTCTGCCCTTTCTCCTAGCCCACCTTTCTCCCTTTCCTCCTGGAATCACTCCCTGCTCCCTCCCTGCAGCCTCCCTTCCTCTCTTCCTGGGGCAAGAGCTGCTGATTTGCAATTCAATTGGAGCCGAGTGCTTCGCTAAGCTGCTAAAGCAACTGAAAGCTACCGGGTAGAGAGAAAAACATTACAAGCATTTTACCCATAATTATGTGCCTGCTCCTGTCTCCGAGCCTCCTTGTTTGCTCTGTGTTTGTGTGTGCAATGAGAGAGAGAGAGAGATACACAGAGGAAGCTTTTGGGTCCCTCCGTCACCCTGGTGTCCAGTTCTCAGCCCCTGGATTTGGCCCCTTGTGTCCTCAGAGTCTCCAGAGTCAGGGACTGGACTGAGAGGGGCTGTTGGCCCCTTGCAGGGTGGGGAGTGCTGAGCATAGAGCCTTCTCTCCTGGACCCTTTCTGGAGCCCCCTCCCAGCCCACCTGCATCAGCACCATGTGCTTGTGGGGGCGGCTGAAGTGGGGAAGAGGCGCAGAAGGTCTCTGTGGGGGGTGGGGGCCGGTGGGAGACAAAGGGGGCTTGAGCTGTCCATCACCAAACTGCACACAGTGGGTAAGTGCTGGGTCGTGGGCTGGTGTGGGCCCCACGTGCCATATGGTTCTTGCCTTTGCACTTTTTTCTTGGAGTGTTGGCTTTACTCAATGAGATGATAGAGATGAAAAAAACACTATTTTAATTTGAGAACAAATGGATGCGTTATGAAGAATGCAAAGCAAAGATGAGGGAAGTAGGAGACTTGAAGGGAACTTTGTCCTTGCGGAGGACAGTCTGAACAGACCCTGAGGAGCTGTGTGGGGGGCCATTTCTTCGTGGGTGGTTTGGGAATGGTGGCCTGGTCCAGTCCTCCCACCTGTTCAGTTCTGCAGCGAGGCTTGGAGACTCAGAGGGCGTGGGGGCAGGGCTGGGCTGTCCCAGCCCGGGCCTGGTGATGGCCTGGGTTGCCTGGGTCATCGGCAGCCGGCCTGCTGTGGAAGTGAGGAGAAGGGGGCCGTCTAGCAGAGGGGGCAATCCCTCCACTCCTTGTCAGCCTGTCTGGGAGGGGCACAGGACCCCGCTCCCCAGGCCAGAATTCGGCTGGGGCTGCACAGAAAGGTGGTTTAACAGCCTGTTTGTGCCCTTGGGGCTCTGACATTGGTGAGGGTCCCTGGCACCACATCCGGGAGGGAGGCAGTGCCCACGTTAGAGGGAGGTGAAAAAGATCAAAGCAGCTGAGAGGTGTCACTTAACACGTGGCAAAGGCTCTAAGCAAGGTCACTGTCAGCGTCAGGCCTTAAGGCGTGTTCTTGGGAACATGGATGTTTTGGGGTGAGGAGGTACCTGTGTCCCACCCTGGGTGGTCTCTGACTTCTGTGCCCTTCCCAGGGTTGGGAAGGTCTTGGTGGTTGAGGGGACCTGGGGCTAAAGTGCCTCACCTGCCAGGGGCTCCCAGGTGTTCCTTCTCTGACCCGGATCCTGGCTGAGGCCTCGGTTTGTGCCCCCTCAGATTGCAGAGAGGTGAGTGGGTTGGGGTGGGGCCCTGTGTCCCTGGGCTGCACAGAGAGAGGGAACGGGGGACAGCAGGGATGGGGGGACAGGAGCGGGGAGAGGGGAGAGAGCCAGAAGCAGACTGAGCACTGTGGTCTGCATTCCGGGCCCCTTTAACAGTGTCCATGTTCCAGGCTGGCGACAGGAAGGCTCCTCAATAATTAAACTGATTATGAGAGGCTGAAATGAGAGGCCGAATGAGAAACTTAAAAGCCATTTACAGAGGCAAAAAGGTTGAACTTTGGGGAAGGAGGCCAGGAACAGGAGCCCCAGGCTGGAGAGGATGAGGAGGGGCCCCTCGGGATGCCCAGGAGCTGCCCAGTCAGGAGTCTGTCTCCAGGGGCAGCACAGCGGCCCCAGCCCAGCTCCCGCTCCTGCCAAAGCCAAGGTGTTCGCAGGGCCTGCTGGGAACTCCTTCCAGAGGCTGTGATTATAGCTCTCCTTCCTCCAAGGGGTGGGTTTCCTGTGCACAGCTCGGGGCAGAGCTCTGGCTTTGGGGGCCCTAGGGGTAGCCCGCAGCCTAGAGAATGCTGATGGGATGCAGTCAGGGTGAGGGTGTGAACAAAACTCACAACTGGCAGACTAGAAGGGGCCAGCTCCCCGTCCTGCAGATGTGGAGACTGCGCCCTGATTAGGTGACAGGACAGGGCTGGGATGGAGGTCAGACCCCAGCTCCAGACCTGACTCTTTCCAGATTGCCCGCCCAAGAAAATGGGGTTGGAAGTGGGACTGGGCCCCAGGCCTTCACTGGGGATCGTGACCTCCCAAGCCTGATTGGGAGGTCATGGGCCTGACAGCTTATCTTCCTTATTTCCCCACTCCTACCCTTCTCTGTCATCCTCATTTTGGCTCTGTTCTCCCAGGAGAAGGGATATCGATGGATGTGAAGAACACCTTTTGGGGGAGATCCTAAACCCGGAAGGTATGGCCCGTACAATGCTGTGTTGTGGGGACCATGCAGCTTCTGGAACCAGTCTGGCCTGGGTTTGAATCTCAGCTCGGCCAGAGTTATCTCACCATAGCCACTCACATATCAGTCACTTACACCATAGTGTGAATGAGCCAATGGCAACTTTTCCTGAGAGCAAACATTGTTGCGGAGAGAAGGAACATCGTAAGTGTCCTGGAAGGAGGTCTTGTCAAATCCTGGACCTGTAAGTGCACAGAGGACCCAGAAATAGTTCAGTGAGTCCCTTGTCCATCTTACAGTGCAGGAGGAAACGGGGGCCTGGAGAAGGGGAGATACACAGTGTGCTGGCTAAGACCTTGGACGCTGCAGCCAGACAGCCTTCGCCACCTCGGCAAATTGTTTAGTCTGTGCCTCAGTTTTCTTGTTTATACAATGGGGGTGATAAATGGTCTCTTAGACCAGGTGTGGGAATTAAGAGTTAATGCCCACAAAAGGCCTAGTGTGGTGCCTGGCACACAGTCAGCCCACAGGAAATGTCACTGCACAGCTTGTAGCTGAGCCCGAAGTCAGCATGAGAGACTCGTCCATGCGGAAGAGGCTGGAGCGGGTGGCAGAGACAGACGGTGACCTTTGAGGCTGATCCTGGAGAGGCCCCACCATCTGCTGGGTCTCCTGTGTCTCCCTGCAGAGTGTTGAGACTGGGCAGCCAACCTAACTTTTGGATAATGAGAGTTTTCTTGCTGTCACAACAGTGGGGCTGGGAAGGAGTGGGGTGGAGTGGAGGGAGGGCATGAAGGGCAGGCAGGAAAGGGGATGGACAGGACGCCAGGCAGCGGGTGGGCAGGTGCCCCCGCTTCCCAGGAGAGGCACCGGATGCTGGTGATCCACGTTAGCCCCAGGGCACCCCCACCCCACCCTGGCTGTGTGAGTTCCCTTGCCCCAGGCGGGGCCACGAGTGCCAGGAGCGCCGGGGGCTGCTCCCGGAGAAAGCTGCCTGCCTGGTGCCAGGCTCTCTGCTCCTCGGCGCCTAGCCCAGGGCTCCTGCGGGAGCTTTGTGGCTTAACTAACACCACATACCCGGTTGAGGATGTGGGTTTTGTGTCCTCAAAGTATTTTGACTGCACAACTAAGAGAAACTTCTGAGGGAGTCAGACTGTTCCACAGCCTGGCCATCTGCCTGGAAGACAGCTCTGTCCTCCCAGCACCCAGGCCAAAAACTCATGGCAGCACTCTGACCACCCTCTTTCCGCCACCAGCAAGCCCTGCAGCTGCCTGTCAGAGTGCGCCTTGGAGCCGCGGGCTCTCACGCTCCCGCCCTGCCCCACCCCGCCCGGTCTCGCCCGGCCGCAGCACAAGCCTGTCTCTCCGCTCCCTGGGCCTCCACAGGGGCCTCCGCGGCCAAACCGTCGCTCAGCGGCCAGCGAGATCTTTCTAAAAGCCACTTCAAATCTGCTCATCCTTCTGCTTGAACTTTTTGTTCACTTCCAGTTGCTCTTGGATTAAAACGCAAACCCCCAGACCCCACGCCTGTCTGAGGAGCCCCGGGCTCCCTGCGGCCCTGACTGTGTGCTTGGTCTCTCCCGGGTGCAGTCACACCAGCCGGCTGTTTCCTTTGTGTCGGCT